TGGAGTGATCTTCAAAAGCTGTCCGATCATTTCTACTTCCTCTTCAGCACACGGAAGCTGCTCTAGGAGTTTCTCACCCTGGCTGTTAGTAACCTCAGCTACCCACGGATTTCCTACAAGTAACGCGCCACTGCTTTTGTGATAATCTTCTGGGCAATCGGCAATGAGTCTGAGACTTGTTAACGATGGAGCGAGTCGGATTCTGAATGATTCACACAGGTATTTAGAATTACCATCCTTCAATGCAGCGTACGGAACGCGCCACAGCAGTCCATCGGGAACAATGAGTAGTTCAGCCCCTTCAACCAGGTCAGCCACGGGCTTTATTATGAGCTCATACAAAGTGCTCAAGCATTTTTCTTGTTTAACAGGAGGTTGAACAGAAGGATGAGGAGTGTTCTCCTCGGTTTTCTCAACCCATTTTTCACGGCTCTCCCTCAAATCATCCAAAGATCGATTCTCGCAACTCACTTTAGAACGAACACCAAGTTGTGTATAGACACCGAGGACAAACGACTCAAAGGACTGGCTTACTCCACTATTTTCTAAAACAGAATCTTTGAGTTGAATTTGTCTTAACTGAACTTGTTTTCCTTTGGACACAACCCAAAGATAGACGTCATCTTCGTCTACTGCCTGAAAGACAGTGTTTGATGGAATGTTCTTTAAAACTACTAAATCTTCATCGTCTCCCTTAGGCTGACTTGCTCCTCCACAAAAACTGGATTCCATGAGGTCAGTCAAAGCTTGAGCTCGTCCTTTCTCAGCAGTAATTAAAGCTTCGTCGATCTTACCTTGATTTGCGAGAACTTTCCACAAACCCGCATACGCTTTTTGATACTGATTTCGAAAATTGACTTTCCACTCGTCTTTAGATTTTAGAAGTAATCTCAGAGCATTTAATAAGGTTATGCTAGCTTGCAAATGTTCAACGGCTTCTGGCAGTCGACCCAGCGAATTGAAAACGCGTGCCAATAAATAGAGGGCCTTTGCCTCCAAGGATTTGTCTTCGACCTTTTGTGCAATTTTGAGCAGTAGGTTGTATGACTCTTTGGCCTTTGTTACGTCGCCCAGAAAAAAATAAACATTGCCAAGATTACCATAAGCTTGACCTTCTCCAACTTTGTCTCCTACTTCTTTAGCTATTTCAAGATGTAGGTTGAGGTACTTTATGGCTTTTTTAAAATCACCTAAGGATTTATAATCATTGCCAAGATTGCCATTGGCTTGTCCCTCTCCAAGCCTGTCTCCTACCACTTTAGTTATTTCAAGATGTAGGTTGTGGTACTCTATGGCTTTTCTAAAATCACCCAGGGATTGATCAGCACTGCCAAGATTGCCATAGGCCATACCCTCCCCATGCCTGTCCCTTATCTCTTTAGCTATTTTAAGATGTAAGTTACAGTACTCTATGGCTTGTTTAAAATCACCTAGTGATTGATAAGCATTGCTAAAGTTGCAATAAGAATTTCCCTCTGCACCCTTGTCTCCTACTTCTTTAGCTATTTCAAGAGCTAGGTTGAAGTACTCTATGGCTTTTTCTAATTCACCTAGGGATTGATAAGCATTGCCAAGATTGCCATTAGCTTTACCTTCCCCATGCCTGTCTCCTACCACTTTAGTTATTTCAAGATGTAGGTTGTGGTACTCTATGGCTTTTCTAAAATCACCTAAGGATTGATAAACATTGCCAAGATTGCCATTAGCTTGTCCCTCCCCATGCTTGTCTCCGACCTCTTTCGCTATGTCAAGATGCAGGTTGATGTACTCTATGGCTTTTCTAAAATCACCAAGGGATTGATAAGCATTGCCAAGGTTGCCATAAGCTTTACCCTTCCCAACCTTGTCTCCTACCTCTTTTGCTATTTTAAGACAAAGGTTGAGGTACTCGATGGCTTTTTTAAAATCACCTAGGGATTGATAAGCATTGCCAATATTACCATAAGAATTACCCTCCCCAACCTTGTCTCCAACTTCTTTAGCTATTTTAAGACTTAGGTTTTGATACACTATGGCTTTTTTAAAATCACCCATATCACGATGAGCACTGCCAAGACTGCCATAAGCAACACCCTCCCCATGCCTGTCCCTTACTTCTTTAGCCATTTCAAGCTTTAGTTTGTGGTACTCTACGGCTTTTTCAAAGTTTCCTTGTCTGTGATAAGTATTTCCAAGGTTGCCATAAACTTTACCCTCCCCAACCTTGTCTCCAACTTCTTTAACTATTGGAAGACAAAGGTTAAGGTACTCGATGGCTTTCTTAAAATCACCTAGGAATTGATAAGCACTACCAAGATTGCAATAAGCACAACCCTCCCCATGCCTGTCTCCTACCTCTTTGGCTATTTCAAGATGGAGGGTACAGTACTCTATGGCTTTCTTAAAATCACCAAGGGATTGATAAGCATTGCCAAGATTGCCATAAGCTTCACCCTCCCCATGCTTGTCTCCTACTTCCTTCGCTATTTTAAGATCAAGGTTGTGGTACTCTATGGCTTTTTGAAAATTGCCTTGACTATAACAAGCATTGCCAAGATTGCTATAAGCCATACCCTCCCCATACTTGTCTCCTACTTCTTTTGTGACTTTAAGGTCAACTTCTCTGACAGAATGAAGTCTCAATGACATCAAGATCCCATTATTTTCTTCAATCTTTTCTTATGTTAAAGTTAAACCGTTTATAAAACCTTTATAAAAAGAAAACAAACAACGGTGTTTCTGATCACTTTGGTATATGATAAGGAGGGCTTAATATCCTAATTTATGACCCACCTATTAATTTTGGCGCAATTTTATTGGTTACTTTATGTCACATGGTGCAAAATCACAGGACAGTTATCACGCAATTACACCCGTCCGCGTCGATATTTCTCCTCCGATTTTTTCCGTGAAAAAGAAACATAGTCAACACAAGTTTCAACTTTTCCGTTCTCCTATTTACATGGAAGGAAACCAAACTTGTTTTTTTAAGTCTAGCGATAGTGATAAAAATTTCTTTCTAGTCAAGTTTTTGAACAGCATGTCAGAAAATGTGAACCAAAAGCGCCAAATTTGGAGTTTTTGATCTAAGGGGCGTTATGAGAGTTAATTTCAAATGACAGCTTGTCAGGTTTTGGTCCAATCACACTGAAAATAAAGTTATTTAAAACAATCAAATGTACATAGCTTGCTTGCGTCAATCACGCGCATTCACCATGAGATCACCGCTGGCTTTTTTATACTGTGTTTACGCGCAGTTTAATTGCGATGTGATAAATTAATGGGAGGGTTATAAAATAAATAAACCCCATCATGATCTGGCTAGCTGGTATGTCGGCTGATAATTTCCTAAGCTGAGAGATTGTCCTCGATATTTCATATTTGCCCTCGAAGCTTCGCTTCTCAGCCAAATATTCATTTTTCGGACAATCTCTCAGCCGCAGACATTACCAGCCGACATACCAGCCGCCCGAAGGGGTTTATTTACTAAATAACCCCTCGTTTCCAAACACTTGGGAGCTGACTGGCTCGATTTTATAACTAATATGTTTTTAACATCAGACGAATGTTTTAGAGCAGAGGAAGAAATGAGTTAGAAATATGTACCTCCAAAAGTTGTGTTTGTCTGTAGAAAAACTTGGTGAAAGTATGAGCAATTTCCGTTACCGACACTTGATTGCCTGCTTGCTTTGAGCAGCATGTGAGGAGTGGACAATTAAAATTGGGGGAAGAATATCGCCACATGAACTTTATAATTACTGAGTTTTCTTTTCAACACATTCCAGAGGGATCTGATTTACCCACGAACAATATATACACTGAGTGTATATTAGAGTCTTTAAACCAAAAGTATGTGGCGTTTTTGGCTGGGAGAGTATGACTAGGTCATGGCTAAAAAGAGTATATCACTTTGCCCACTTTTTTCAATCGCATAATTAAAGTACGAGCTGAAAAATAACCAAGTAAATTGAGACCCTTCTTCGCATTTTCTCTCATAAAATGTCAAATTATCATGCAAATAATTCCATCACCCACAGTTGGAATAACAGATTGCTTCAAAGGATACAGCTAATCCCTTATCACACCAAGTGATTGCTTCTTCAAATCTCTTCAGCTCAACACAGGCACTGGCTCCTGTGGGAAACAACCCAAAGAATTTTCTATTTACAATCATAATAATTGCTCAATTTTAAGAAAAGAACCAGATATTAAACCTTTTAAACCTAAAACATTACAGACCAGAAGAAAAGGAAACAAACAAACAAAAGGAAAAGAATAAGAGGCCCTATACATAGGTTTCAGTCACATTAGGTTTTGGTAATTAATGAACAAACTTTCAAGAACACCTATAAATTGGGACGTCTGCTTAAATCCTCCCAAAATTTACCAAGAGATAGGTAGAATAAGACATGTAATGCAAAAATAGAGAAGGAAAACCACATTTCAACAACTTTATCTTGGGATACCGTGACATTTTTAATAAATTTATATTGGTATACATTTTTAATAACTTTATATTGGGATAAATTTTTAGTTGATCCTGAACATGACCATCAATTTTGCCAATTGTGAATTGAATCTGGACAGCTAAAGCATAAGGAATATACTGGTTAAGTCTCAAACGTAATCAAAAATAATACAAAGTAAAAAAAATAATCTGATATTAAAATACTTTTTTTTTTCATTATCACGATTAACATAATTTTATCTAACCTCTCACAATTGCTTTGAGATAAGTTGGCTGTAACTCAGTGGCAGCTTTTGCGTCACTCAGTGAATCCTGGTGATTTCCTGTTTTTAAAATACAGATATCAAATTAGCTTTACATGTAGAAAACCTATCACTTTATTGAGAAAATTGCTGAGGGGGAAAAATCACTTCTTAATTTGTATGATTTACCGGCCAACTGGTAAGGGATATATTTTGTCAGAGAATTGCTGTCTGTGAATTAATATTTAAAATCATCACTTCCTTTCAGAACACCACTACACAGCCCTTTGAAAGAGAAAAATGCACACTTAAAGTTTAATCATCTTACCCAATTTAAAATGTGCAGTCGCCCTGTTGCTATACAGTTTGGCCTTCGGTTCTTTGTCCTTGCAGTTCACTTTAATTCCTTCTGTGTAAAAGTGAATAGCATTGAGGAAATGTCCTTTCTTAAAGGCCTCATTACCTTGATTCCTATAAACATCAGCTCTGGCTGCAGAGAAAAATTATAGAAATAATTTCTGTCAAATTCTGAGGGTAGTTCATTTAAGTGTGAGAGACTGGTGCTACCAAAACCTGGAGATTTAAAATCTGCAATTTTTTTTCTTTTGTGCCAGCTGCCACCTGAGCACCTGCCTGGTTGGAACCTGATGACCCATCCCTGTTGACATTACAGTACTGTACCTGAGATGATGATTGCAGCCCCCATTCCCCCTCCCTCTCACAGAAAAAGTCCCTGAGTGACATTGTTTGGTTGAAAGCTCATTTAACTGATCAGACTGTCAGTTTTGTGGTTCAGTGTTGTTTAGAAGAAAGTCAGTATTCTCTACTTTGAAACAAACTAAGCGCAAGAAGCTAGAAAATTTAGGTAAGAACCCTAAGGTAAACAAAAAAGCCAGATAACACTGAGGCCAAAATTGAACCTGCAGATATATCACCTTGTAAAGTGTCGCCCCCTGTTGCATTTTCCGTTTTGGGTAAGTCTTCATTTTCACAAGGAACTTTAATTGGACTTTTTTCTGTTGCCATAGCAACTGTTAGAAAAAGATTTTTAGAATAAATTATGATGGATAAAAATTGGGCAAGCCAGTCTGAATCAGCACATGTGTGTTGCAAGTTCATCATTTGTAACAGCAATTTAAATAATTTAAATTAAGAGACTGTTAGGAAAAAAGACGAAGTTAATTATAATTAAGGTAGATCAGGTCTGTATTAGAGAAGTGCAAGCCCATCCAGCCAGACCTTATCCTGGCTTCCTTGCATGAAGCATCATTGGGAACATTACTTACTCCCCCCTAGAAGGGATGCCTGTCTATCCCACAGTAACACCCCCAGCATTTCATCAGGATTCCTGACAATTCACTAGTAACCAGTTACACTCCTGGATGGAGAGAGGCACTCTGATAGTAAAGTGTCTCGCACAAAAACAAAACACAATGCCCTGGCCAGGTTACAAATGCAGACCTCTTGACCCTGAGTCCTGAGACCACAAACAAATTTAGGCCACCAATTGTCTCCCCTGGAGGGGAGAGTTTATGCTGAATCCTTTCTCATGAAAYACAAATATTACAAAACCAAAGTATAATTCTCTTATTTGATTTTTAAATTCATCTTGGTCAAAACTTGTTGATGATGTAATGGTATGTTTTTACTTAATTTCCACTTGAACTGATGCCAATCTACCTGCATGATCACATGAAAAACACTGAGATAGAAATACACTTAAGTGTGCTGATGTATGTTGAAATGGATTTTAATCCATAACAGGTGGTATATGCATACATAGCGCATTTGATCATATGTAAATGGAATTTGCGCACTACAAATATTAAACTATTATTATTATTATTATTATTAGCTACTTGTTTTTTTTGCAATCATTTTATATTTCCATTGTTTGTGCTTATAATTGACTTGTCTTTGAAAATAAAATACAAGTCTTCAATTCTCTTGATCATCAAGATCTGTTACTTTCAGATAGCATACAATCCTAATTGCTGGCTGTCTTCAATAGAGGATGATCTATATTCCAAAAGATTTCAATCCATGTAGAGGAACAAGGAAATTGTTATGGAATTCAAAATAACCTGAGAAACATGTAATGCATTTAGGTAAAAGCCAGTCCTAACTTCTTACTGACAGATCAAGCACAATTAGGGTCATACTGGAGAATATTGGCCCAAGGTTGTGGCAGTACAGAAATGACTGGATGCCAATATTTCCCGGTACGGCTTGAGAAAGCAAAGGGCAAGTAGTTTAAAATGTCACTTGGACTAAACTTAAGCTTACTTTGAGTTTTCTGGATTTTGAGAAAAAAATACATTGTGTATGTCACCTTTTTAAGAAAATGGTCCATATAGAAAATCCTGACAAAGTAAGAACCAATCAGAATTTTGAATTTACCTCAAGACTACTTGCCATGTAATAATATATATTATCACTGGATACAGACAAGGATACATGTAGCCAAATGTAGAACTAAACCAGTTTTAATAAAATAAATTGATTGGAGATATTCAGTTGTTGTGATTTTTGATGCTGATCACATTTACTAATAGTACCAATCAATTATTAAGAGTTGTTGAATTGGATTCGGAAAATTGAATGCAGCTGAAAGGACGTGTGGAAAAAAAACCTAATTGACATTAATTTGAAGAAACACCAACTTGTCCCAATGCTTAACAGGGGAATTAAATTAACACATACTGCTTGGAAGGAGAATCTCATAGTCCATCAAAAGTTAAAAATAACTGTTAAACTGACAAAAAACAGCTTTTGTAATCGTTACGGTGGCGAATTTACCATTTCAACCTTGTTGATATATCCAAATTATTTCGTTACCCCCACCAACGTAGCCCCAAACAGTTTCTTTCGAAACTATCAGCCTTTATTGAAATGTTTATAGCTTTTTGATTAGATTTTTTGCATCGTTCATAGGGTAGCAATTTTAAGTTGAAACATAATCCTAACATGAAAGCTAGTGCTAAACAAGATCTGCCTACTCTAGCAACATGACACGAAAACGAAACTGAAAGTGTTTTGGTCAGCGCTTGCACCACGTAAACTTAATCAATCATTTGGATATTCCTTTCAACTCTCACGAATTAGTTATTTCGTCCGGGGGTATTTTCTGCGATATTTTGTGAATTAGATAGCTGTAACTATTGCAAGTTCATATTGTGTAGCTGAAAGATGTTATATTTAGTAACAGGAAGTGGCAATACACAGTACTTGAGAACAAAGCAAAAAAGTTAGCAATACTCTGCAGTTAAAGAGTCTTCTTTCTTTGCCAGAAATTAGGAAAAATTAGGACAGATTAAAACGCGTTTGAAGAAGAAAATGTTAACTGAGAAACTCGAAATAGAAGTATTGACCTTCTGTTTAAATATCTGATACAACCACGCTTTGTATTCCTGACCTCTGTCGCGGAAAAGGAAGCAACGTTTAACTATTTTACGATCGTGCCATCACAGTCCATCATGGAAATGTTTCAAAGAAAGTCCCTAGAACTGACAAAGTACCAAGTAAGACTCCACAGGTATGTTATAGGACGAAGAATCTCAATAAACCGTTCTAAGCTGGGAACTTGTTGCCGCTGTAAAATAACCGCAGCTGCAGTTGTGAAAGGGGAAGTCCGCCTTGGACCATGATTCAATGCAAGGTTGAAGTAAACATATGTGACACGCCTCATAACCGGAACTCCTTTTAAATCAATGGCAATCAATCACTAATCATGATCAGCTTATCAATGGCTGGCGATGGGCGAAAACCAGTTATATCGTATCAACTTCAGCTGCAATTACGGCCAAATTATGGCTTTAAAATAAACAAAGGCGCCGTCTCTTTCGTGGTTCACACTGTTTCAATGTTCACGCCAAATCAACGACATAAATCTTAACAATTTTGCTACATGAAAATTGAAGAATGAAGTTAGTTTTAGAAATACTAAGTGCTAATCGATTACATTTCATCCATTCAGCACAGATTTTAGTTCACGATCTAGGGTTGTTTCAAGGTGACTAAGGTTTTTGCTAGAAAATAAATGTTAGTGCCATCAGCAAATAGATGAAATGTTAGTAAGCTAGAAGTATTGTGGGGCAAATCATTTACATATAATAAGAATAAAAAGTGTCCTAAAATAGATCCTTGTGGGACATCACAGGTCACATGTAATGAAGCTGAGTTATGACCATTAACATCTAAAAATTGTTCGCTTTGGAATAAGTAAGATTTAAACCAGTCAAGCACAACACCTCTTATTCCATAGTGGTTAAGCTTAGATAGGATTGTATGATCAACAGTATCAAAAGCTTTTTTTGGGTTTATAAATATACCACAACCAAATTCATTATTATCAATGGACTCACTCCGACTGACGAATACATTCAGTGATAAAAATAAGTTAGAGCATGGGTAGTCGAACATTTTTCTCTGAAACCAAACTGAAGTGGATAAAGTATATATTTTAAATTCTTCCAAATAACTGTAGAGGTGATGGTAATAGCTTTTTCAAATAATTTACTAAAGTTAGAAAGAACAGAAATTGGTCTATAATTGTCTATGTCAAATCTTGAGCCCTTCTTAAAAACAGGAGTAATCCTCGCTAATTTTAATTTCTCAGGAAAATTACCACTAACAAAGGAATCATTGACTAAAAATGCAAGAGGCTCGGATATATAGTCCCTAATAGTTTTCGAAATAGTAACAGGTACAA